CTGATTCACGATAGGCAGGTCAAAAGCTCACGCTAGGCAGGTCCACTGGTTCAAACTAGGCAGGTCCACTGGTTCACGCTAGGCAGGTCATGGTCAGCTAGCTCCATGCTATGGCAGGTCCACTGGTTCATGCTAGGCAGGTCCACTGGTTCACACTAGGCAGGTCCACTGGTTCATGCTAGGCAGGTCCACTGGTTCATGCTAGGCAGGTCCACTGGCTCATGCTAAGCAAGTCCTTTGGCTCACACTAGGCAGGTCCACTGGTTCAAGCTAGACAGGTCCACTGGTTCATGCTAGGCAGGTCCTCTGACTCACACTAGGCAGGTCCACTGGTTCACACTAGGCAGATCCACTGGCTCACGCTAGGCAGGTCAACTGGCTCATGCTAGGCAGGTCCCTGGCTCATGCTAGCCAGGTCCTCTGGTTCATGCTAGGCAGGTTCTCTGGCTCATGCTAGGCAGGTCCACTGGCTCATGCTAGGCAGGTTCTCTGGCTCACACTAGGCAGGTCCACTGGCTCATGCTAGGCAGGTCCACTGGCTCATGCTAGGTCCACTGGTTCACACTAGGCAGGTCCACTGGCTCATGCTAGGCAGGTCCTCTGGCTCATGCTAGGCAGGTCACCTGGTTCACTAGGCAGGTCCACTGGCTCATGCTAGGCAGGTCCTCTGGCTCATGCTAGGCAGGTCCACTGGTTCACATTAGGCAGGTCCACTGGTTCACGCAAAGCAGGTCCACTGGCTCACACAAGGCAAGTCCACTGGCTCATGCTAGGGTCCACATATACGTCGATTTTTTCAATAATATTTAAAATTTTATTCGGAGATTTGTGACCAAAAAATTTAAGAAAAAGTTAGGTATGTCATGAATGTATAAAATATATGTAGATACAAGTCTATTTTATAATTTACTACCATAAAATATACACAAATCTATTGTGAAAAGTTAAAATTTATCAAAACTTAATGCACACAAACAATTATAGATCGAATATGTTCCATTCTCATTCAAGAGAAATGTTGACAAAGGTGAAGGTGCAATAATATAATAATAATACAGTGGTACCTCGGGATACAAACAGCTCAAAACTTGAATAATTATATGTACAGTGGAACCTCAAATTTCGAACTTAATCTGTTCCAGGAGCCAGTTTTAAATTTGAAAAGTCTGAAAATCGAAGCAATATTTCCCATAAGAAATAATGGAAATACAATTAATCCGATTCCAGAAACCCAAAAATATTCACAAAAAAATACATTTTATAGAGATTAATTACAGTTTTACATACACACAACAAATACTATAGTGTTCAATTATGTATATAAATATAAAATAACATTTTTACTTACCTTTATTGAAGATTGGTGATGGCATCTGGAAGATAGGGAGGAGGAGAGAGGGAGTTGGGGTTAGTGTTTGGAAGGAGAATCCCCCTCCATGAGGACTTCAGGTAAAGCCCTCTCTGGGGTTACTTCCCTTCTCTGTCTTTTAATGCCACTAGGACCAGCTTGAGTCACTGAACTCCTGTCTCACAAAATAACTGTCCACAGTCCTCTGTTTCTGGTGCCTCTTTAAGATTTCCCTAAAATGGGACATGGTTCTGTCACTGAACTTGTTGCAAAGATGGCTTGTTTCAGCTTGCTCAGGGTGGTACTTCTCCACAAACATTTGGACATCATTCCACTTCTGTGTTATTTCCTTCTTCACATCCATGGTGTTTCTCAATTTCTTTACCACAGGGGTACCACTAGCAAGTATCTTTGGGCCCATGGTAGCTTATTTCACAGTCCCACAAGCACTAAACACAATGAAATAATCGTAAAATGTTTGAACGAGAGCGCAGGTTAGTGTTCACTCAAGCAGTAAACAAAGCCAGACTGGCTCACAGCGCCTGTGCGGGGACGCAGACAGAGTGGGCTGGTGGACAGGTCCGGTACCCGGCGGTCCGAAAATAGGGACAAAGTTGGTTCGAAAAAAGGGCTCTGTTTTTTAAACGTTCGATATGTGATACGTTCGAATTTTGAGGATCCACTGTAAGTGTATTTATGTAAGTGCTTTTGTAAGTGTATTTTTGAAGTTCTGAAATGGATTAATCTAATTTAGATTATTCCTTATGGGAACAAATTCGTTCAGTATCGGCACTCGAACAGCCTTCTGGAACAAAATAAATTCGTATCTGCCAATAAAAGTAGGGGCGCCATTGGTACACTAAGAGAAAACACCATAAGTGTCCGGGGCCCAAAACTGTTCAACAGCCTCCCATCAAGCATTAGGGGAATTGCCAATAAACCCCTGGCTGCCTTCAAGAGAGAGCTGGACAGATACCTAAAGTCAATGCCGGATCAGCCGGGCTGTGGCTCGTACGTCGGACTGCGTGCGGCCAGCAGTAACAGCCTAGTTGATCAGGCCCTGATCCATCGGGAGGCCTGGTCATGGACCGGGCCGCGGGGGCGTTGATCCCCGGAATAACCTCCAGGTAACCTCCAGGTACCACTGTATAATATTATTGTTATAATCATAACTAAGTACTAAACCCACAAGGGTCAATATAATGATAATATTACAGATTGTACATGTTCCATTCACAGTTGAGAGAAATGTAAAGAAACATAAAGATGCAGTAATATAATATAATAATAATAATTTATTATTACAGATCGTTCATGTTCCATTCACAGTCAAGAGAAATGTAAACATACATAAAGGTGCAGCGCAATATGTATTAAACTATAAATAAAAATGAATTTCTATTTCACATTATTTTTTCATTTTTTGTCTAGAGTTAGTAATACATATAATGTCTACAGTGTTTTGTATCAGATAAGATAGATTCCCAACTGCAGGTCATTATATGACTAAAGCCCCATGTCAGGAATCACTTGTACTGTTTACCGATGAACCTTACCTACCCTAACCTGGGGGTGCAAGATGGCATTCTAGGGAGTGTGACAAAGAGTGCTAATGAAAAGCCAGTTCCATTTATTTTACCAAAAACTTTCCTAATTGCTCAATTTATATTTGCATTTTATGCACTGAATTAAAAGCTTATTTTTTGAGGTCAATTTGTTCACCTGCATTACTGTATTTGGTTCATTTCATGATTCCAAAATTAGAAATTTGACTTCATCTTCAAATGTATTTTCTTTTCTCTAGCTTACTTTACTGTAAGAATAATGTATATAATACATATACTTTTCTGTACTCGACTGAAGAAGCCTACTGTGTAGGCAAAACGTTTCGAAATAAAGATACCTAACTGTTGCATATGTGTCTTACCTAACAAAACATTTGTTAATCATCTGTGTATGCTATTGGTAAGGCTTCTGGTCAACAGTAGGCCATTAATAGTTAGGTTTTCAAGGGGTCAAAAGTTATGCATGGATTTTCAATTGCGTGAGGGGTCGGCTCAACTCTATTATTATACTGTATTACAAAATAAGCACTCAATCCGTATACCATAGAGATAAGCACTAGCACCATTTTACATTGTATTTATGGGAGTGGGAGTTTTAAACCTGTAGGAGTAATACAGCACCCAGGAAGCAATCAGATTTGAACACAGGATAGGGAGGACAGGTCCAGTTCCTCGGATCAAGAATTCTTTACGAGCATCAAGGGTTCGCTTCATCAGTGTCAGAACTAAATATCATGCAGTTGAAATATTTAAGATGTATGCAATCGTTGTTGAGTAGCAACAGTGCATGCACCAGAAATAATGGTGATAGTAGTAGTAGTAATACTGGTATTTGTATTAACAGTAGTGGTAGTAGTAGTAGTAATAATAGTAAAAGTAGTAATGTTAGTACATAGTTGTATCAGTAGCAATGGTAGTAGTTTCTTTTGTCCTGTTAGCATATTGCTAACAAGGCTTCAGTAGACATTCATATTGAAGATAAGAGTGCTCTACTTTATTTTACAAAACTGTTAATGTTAAGAATATCTTTAATGTTAATATTCACTAATAACAAATATGTACATAAGAGTAACAAAATAAATAGTGTGAGCATGGTATAATGAAGGGATTCAGGGAAACCAGTTAGCTAGACATGAGTCCTGGAGGTGGGGAAGTACAGTGCCTGCACTCTGTTGGAGGGGTGGGGATGCTACAGTTTAGAGAATTATTTGATTTATGATGTGTGCATAATTTTGGCAAGACTGCTGTTGAGTGAAAGATGGTGAATGTTTCCTTTTTCTTTTTTGAGGGACCATCTTACCTTGGTTGGAATTGGCAGGTGTGTTAAAAAATGTGCATTATTCTGAATATATGATAGTTTTCAAACATGCTATTATGAAAGAACAAGTTCAGTAGTAGAGCATTTATCTCACAACTGAAAGGATGCCAAGTTCATTTCTAGGTGAGGTAGAGCATGTTGGCTTCAGAACTTTTGCTACCTCTGGTATACCTAGGTGTAGTAGGCTTCATGCTAGCGAAGAGGACATAAAGAACCCTAATGAAAATAAGTCGCACTCCTTGGCTTTCTTGGGTTCACCTGGGTTAGTAAGCCTCTTAAGTTTTGTAATCTTGAGAAAATCTTATGGCCTTATATCTGTAAATTTATAATGTCAAATACTGTACATACTCTGTATGGTTGATGGGTAAAAAAAATTTCAACAAAGTTGCACATAAGGAATCACAATGGATGAATGTCCAGAAGCAGGAACCATGAACATATTGAATTTAAAAAAAAAAATGTTCAAACCCAAAAGTTTATGTATACAGTGGACCCCCGACTTATGATATTAATTCGTTCCAGAAGGCTGTTAGGGTGCCGTTACCGAATGAATTTGCTCCCATAAGGAATATTGTAAATTAGATTATTCCGTTTCAGACCCCCAAAAATACACTTACAGAAGCACTTACAAAAATACACTTACATAATTGTTCGAGTTGGGAGTTGTTTGTAAGTCGGGGGTCCACCGTACTTTTAATGAAGTGAAATTTCTCTGTTGGCTGTGACAAGTAGGTGCCCTTTTTAATCAGTTACAATAAAACCACCAATATACATTTCATAAAATTTACTGATCGATCAGAGTACAAAGTTAGTAATAAAATCCAACAAGAAAATATAAATACAAATCTATATGTCAAAATTTCTATGATACAATATCAGCTCTTCAGTAAGAGCTAGATTAATGCACTAGGAATGTCTATGTGCTAGGTACCGCTCACACAGCACACCAGTCATGTTTTGTCAGGAAATGCCAGTCAGAATTTTTATAAATTTGCTAGGTGAGTAATAACATATATTTAACAGACATGGCAAATTTAGGGAAAATATAGAACAAACAATTAAACTAGAGCAACACAGTCTTTCAAATTCTGACAGCCAATCCCTGTGTAGCATACAGTTTCACCATAACAATTTAATAATAGCATAAAATATTGCACAACATTCATAGACCAGCTTTCATTCATAAGTCTGATATTATAATGTTTCAAGAAGTGTAGGGATCATTCAGCACATGGAGTTGTGGAGGCTCAGTCCTCCAGCCACTAATTGTGGTCCGGTCTCTGTTCAGTCTATCACAGTTTTCAGCATATTTTTTATGTAAGGTAATAACAAAGGCAAGTACTGCATGTTGGATGATGACATTTCGACATTTAAACTAAAGCCGCTGTTTGCTTTAGTTGTCCATGCAAATTGTATTGGGTATTGTACTAGAAATAGATAACAATCACACCACAAATACCTCTCAATGTCTTTCATGTGTACTGTATAGTATATCTTGGAAGCCATTTTATTATTATATGGTTATAAAAATGAATACCATAGGACATTTGTAGAATAGTTTCATTAATTATTTTAACTTGATTGTATTTAAAGATTCAAGGATTAGTTTCTTCGAACTAAACTAAATTCGATACTGCATTTAAAAATGTACAACTACATGGAAAAACACGATCTCATCCTGAAGGTAGAGATAATTTGTTGATATTACCAAAACAAATTACAGTAATTAAGGTTCATAAATATGTCAACTGAACTTAAAAAAATCAGTTTACTGCACAGGCTGTTTCTAACATTAATAAAATGTTTATAATACTTTGAGACTTATTAAGAGAGATCATAGAGTATATCTGTGAATATTCTCTGGTTTTGTTGCAATGGATAAAGCTTATATACAGTACAATGTATCTAAAAGTATAAGTTATACAGATTAGATCTAACACCTCCCAAAACGCGATGCTAAAAGTATGAAATTTCACTAGAGGTAGAAGACTATTCACTTCTGATACTGAATGAATTTTTTTACCCAATTTTAACACTAGAGTAGCAACAAAACAAGGAGTAAATGATACAAATTTGTGTAAATGAAAGTTGGAGACATTAGATAACTTTTTTGTAGCCAAAAATATACATAATAACAGCTCATAGAATTATCTTTATAAAATTATATTTTTAAATTATTATATTAATTTATGCAAAAAATTTAAAAAGTTGTGAATAAAAAAATTGTGGACGAGGTAAGTTTCACATCAGTTTCACTCGTATGCAAAGCTAAACTGGATAATGTAACTATATACAACTAACTGATTGCACCTCATAAAAATTACAGTTAAGGCGGCTCGGGCAAACACCGTTATATCACAATGATTTGAGTCCACCGTCATGCTTGTAGACTAGTGGAAATATATTTACTGTATAGGTATTAACGGACTGGAAATGCACTATGCAAGCCGAACTGACTCTGTTTATGAATGAAGGGAAGGTTTTAGGGAATCATTGCTTTCTGATAAGACACCACATTCAAGGCAATAAATGTTGTAAAGGACAAATGGGGAAACCCAAGAAATTTTACGTATAATTTGGGCTTAAGGGTCGTTAGGAGGAGTCTTGAAGCAGTCTTGTTTTAACCTCTATTAAGTGAATTAAAAAAATATATTACTTTGGTGAATCCACAAAAAAGTATAATTATTAGCACCCCTATATGGAAAACCTTAAAAAATAAAGAGTTAACAATCCCACATTAAATCCTTCTGTTTGGGTTCATGGATGTGGTCAAAGATGAAATGTAGGTACTCAGAGCTCATCATGTTTAGGTCCTGAGAACTCTTCATGGGAGATGAAGCCATCCCTATCTTTGTCTTCATGGTGGAATATCTCTTCAGTGATCTTATGAGGATCTTGTCCTTTTTCAACTTCTTCAGCAGGGAGTTGTGCCTTGATATACTCTAGTACCTGAGGGAAAACAGCGAGAAGACAACGTGAAGATATAAAATAAAAGGAAAAGCTCAGCATAGTAAATCAAATACAATATTAAATTATATTGAGAATGTAAAAACGGTTTACAAACACAATAAATAGGAAAACTTAAATAGGGTGAAGAAAAAATTAATTAAGTCTCTGCAAAAGACATCACATTCAATAATAGTAAGAGAAAGCTTGAGCAACCAGGTATTAGCAATATCAGTGTGGCAGATTGGAGCAAGGCTGATGATAGAGAAACAAAGCATTCTAGTGGCTGAGTGTGGCAGTATGGTTAGACAAATATGAACAAAAAGTGAAGGGAGTCAAAGGATATTAATAAATTGAAAAGTTTCTTGGATTTCCTAGGTACCGTAATGACTATGTATTCAGTGCTTCCCCATGGATAATATAAAAATAGTATTCCTGAGAAAAGTATGATGTAATAGTAGGTTAAGTATTAAAAGATCTTCAAAATATTATAAAGAATATGGCTTAGTTATGTCACGAATGCAAATATTGAAGTCTATTTAAAGTTAATTTTTATATTCGTGGTGCAATGATGAACCCATAAGGGTCATACAATGGCAGGGAAACAGAAGGCAATCAAGTTTGAAAAAAAGATAGAGAGGAGCGCCTATTCCTGAATCAGGAACTCGTCAGAATCAAGGCACTGCTCTGGAAGGAAGCTAAAAGGTTAAGAATTAGTAAACAGATGGCTGCTGAAACAAATATACAGCACCATATTTAAAGCTACTTAATATTTTTTATATTTGGAACTGAAAAAAAAAAGAAAAATTAGTAAACATTAAGATATAATTGAATCAAGTGAACAAAGGGTAATCATAGATAAGTAGGTTATATTAAATGTTAATTCAGCATGTGCTTGTAAGAAAATTAGAGACACAAAGCCAAAAATACAGAAAGAAGAAAAAAAAAAGACGAACCAAATTATTGAAAACTGAACTAAGACAAAAAAAAGTGGAATATTATGGAGTGGGACTGACATTTTGAATTGGGGGTATTAAAAGACACAAGATGAGGGAAGTAAATGTGCTCACTTAAGGTCAGCTGGCAAGTAAATGATCAAGTGTAGAAATATGTGAAATTTAAGCCGAAATAAAAATGTGTGCCTTTCTATAGAGGCCTTAATGTGTGGTAGAAAGCATGTGCAGGCCACCCTCCTCAGTAATGGAAAACATTAAGATGAATATAACACATGTTTAACAAAAACATTCTACTTACTTTGAAAGTATTCATGAATAATTAAGAATGCAGAAATTTATATTGAAAAATGAGCCGTACATGAGTTCAGTGTTATGGAATTCATGCGTATCACACAGTAAGAGTTAGAATAATTTTAAAATGTAATCAAGTGGTGAATCCTGCATGAAAGGGTAGTTTTTAATTTTTCTTATTACAAAGTCCAAGGTTTGAACAACAAATGGGTTCTAACCATATCATGCCTTGTATTTTGGATATTTTGAAAATACATTACTTTTCATCAGTCAAAAACTAATAAAATACTGTATCTACAAACCCAGTGATACCATAGGTGGGAAATTATGATATCTGTTTACATATCTATTATTGGAAGATGAGTAACAAGAGACTGGCATACTGCACTGTTACTGTAGTAATCAGGTACTCTACCTGTCTCTCAGAGATATTATGCATGCTTGGGGTCATTCAATGAAACGACATTTGTACATTTAATAAAATTTTACTACAAAAAATTTCTGCTAAGCGCTGATATATATCACATCAGAGGTACACTCACTATGTTTGCACACTAGCAGCTCTAACATGAAGAAGGGAAAAAAATTCTTTCATTGAATGAAATGGTATAGAATGGAAATATAGCAATAGTTACCAATATACAAGTGTTTTGTTGCATTTTTGCACTAGCATTGATGTTCTCTATGTGCTTATATATGCGAGAACTTTAAGGGAAATGGCCAGTTATAAAAAATTGTAACTTAAAATTATTGGCTATATTTATAATTAATACTTTACTAATTAATGCAGTGGTAACAGTGTTTATTCAAGTGACTAGAGGGTAAGATTTAAATGACAAAATTAATACGAGCTGAGATTCAAAGTGTATTTGAATGCTCATTACGTTATTACTAGTAAATATTGTACTATACAAACTGGGCCGCGGGGGCGTTGACCCCCGGAACTCTCTCCAGGTAAACTCCAGGTATGTGTAGTACTGTATTGCTGAGAAATGGTGGGAAATGTTTATGGCCATGAAGCATATGTCTGCATATCATAGGAGCCATTCAGTAAAGACATTACTTCTGCATGCACTCTGAGGAGAGCGAGAGACTAGAGATTCTGCTTGTATGGTAGTTACAGAGGGAGACACGAGTTTACCTATTTGTAGTTACAGGAGGAAAAATATTCTCATTGTCTCATTTTTTTTGGAAAGCATTTCTAGTATTTCACACTTAGGATGACCTTGGCTGAAACTGCATTTTGGATGACATTTCATAAACCCATTTATAATGCTGGAAACTTCGTTTATCAGGTGAAAATTAAGAATCCATAAAACCTATGCCCAAATACATGCTATAGTACTGTTGAATACTGTTAAAAATAGTTTACTTTAATCATTATATATGCCTATATTGATGTGTTCAGAAACAGAATAATGCTGGAGCCAGTAAATTTTAACTTTACAAAACTAAAGCATCTGTAATTGCCAACATGCTGTAAAAATGTGAGTTTGCAAATTAACGGCTCCCTAAATAATTTTCTATCTTTTTCAAACTCATTATCAGTAACATAGTTGTCTGTACTGTAATAATTAATTTTAACATAGCTAAATACTAAAAATATTTATAATTCTGTCAATATTATTAATTTAAGAAATGATAGCAAAGATAATAAATTGTGTGCTATGAAGTGTTTTTCACAGAAAACATGAATAATGGAATTGTTAGTTAGTTATAAATATTGATTATTTTTTGCAAAGCAAACACTGATGCACTCACTATTATTACATGAATCAAAGCATTAAGTTACACTCATACATTACAGTCATACATTAGTCAATTAATGATTACGAGGCAGGACCCAATAATGAGCTCGATCCCTACTAATTTTAGTGCTATACTTGAATTTCTGTAACGCTTAATAATAATTATTCCCATGAACACAAGTAGGTGAGTACAGTGGACCCCCGCTTAACGATCACCTCCAAATACGACCAATTATGTAAGTGTATTTATGTAAGTGCGTTTGTACGTGTATGTTTGGGGGTCTGAAATGGACTAATCTACTTCACAATATTCCTTATGGGAAAAAATTCGGTCAGTACTGGCACCTGAACATACTACTGGAATGAAAAAAGTTCGTTAACCGGGGGTCCACTGTATATGAATACAGATAGTTATACCGGAAGTAACTGACCATATATATGACACTAACTACTTGCCATTGACAATTTCTTATTAATAAAGTGCTTCATGTTAAGCAGATGGCTTATATAAGAGTTCATTAATATATGTTTGGCTTGTTTTAAGCTTCTGTATTTAATCCTATTAATACCTCAATAAACACTTAGGTACCGGTTTACTGCTAAGTGAGCATGGGAAACAGCTGTATGAAGGTTTTTCCATACGTCTCAGTTGTTCAGGGATCAAACCCAGGTCTTGTGGTTGTGAGTCAAACATTCAAACACTGAGCAAGAAGTTTTTACAGAATTGGTTTGCCTTACAGTTAACTACACAACTTCAAGATTAATGATCATCACAAACTTAAAAAAAAAAAAAAAAAATCAGTACTATATTGATTTTAGATTCATGTGACTTTCATACAAAGTCAAATACAGTACATGATTTCTGTAGGTAGACAATGGCATAAGCTGACAAGTGGTAATTTAGAAATGTCTGTACTTTAAGCAGGAAAAACCTTTAATTTACAATGTTTTGCCCAAAGTGGGTCTTTATCAAGTACTGTACTGTGGGTGAAAATGCCTGGATTATCACAATTTGCATTACCTGACCCCCCTCATACTCTTAATGCTGTTATCGTCATTTCACTTCTATCTTCAGGAGATGAATTGACTGGCATGTACACTGTTCAGCTTAAGTTGAAATTGTACAAAAGTGAAATAATTTGTCTTTAACACATTTTAAATGCCAGTATATTTTAATTTTACACAGTAATTTATGGTAGTTACTAAGTGGGAAACTTTCTCCAGCTACACTTTTACTTACAAAAACACTTACAATATAGTTTCATCATTATGTTAGTGGAAGAAAGATAAAATTCAATAACTGAGAAGATGTTTATTGGAAATATTTCAGTATTGGAACCTTGGCTATTCCAGATGTACATAAGAGTTGGAAAATGTGGGCTTATATAATCAGGGAAGCACCTGGGAAGTGTGGTTCAGTGGCATGTTTTCTGACTGCAGTATCTAGTGGTGTGCAGGGGTGAGCTCGTTTGATAATCGTATGGTATGTGCCAGGGTCTCGACAAATCTAAAATTTTAGGCACGTATGGCTGTGTTTATTGTTGCAAATAAGACAGGCTTTCAAACAATGGCATCTGTGGATATTAGGTTCAGTGAAGATCATTTGTGTGTGGGCGAAGTCTGTTATGTGTCCCTCTGTGCTCCTGTGAAGCACTGAAGCATTGTTGAGATTGTCCTTGTTGCAAGCATTTTTGTGTTTATTGATTTTAGTAGATAAATTCCTGCCTGTTTTTCCTACATCTTTCATTAATGAACACAAAAATGTTTGTAAAGGGGAGGATCTCAACTATTCTTACATGCTTCACAGGAACATAGAGAGACATTTGGTGGACTTCATCAAAGCACAAATGAATGTCACTGAACTTAATCTCCACAAATGCTACTGTTTAGAAGCTTGCCTTATTTTAACAACAAACACAGTTATACAAAGAACAGGAACTTGTAATAATGCCAAAACCCTGGCACATATGATCTCTCTCTCACCTCAAGATGCTGCAGTCAGATGACA